TGTTGTTGGTTGGCAATGTTTGCGAATAAGTTTTTTGCCCGGCGTTGCTTATCACGATTTGTGGCCATATTATTTCAGTTTTTGCTTGTTGCTGCTGCTGCTGCGGCGGCTGCTGCTGCTGCTGTTGCTGGTCGTGTCGAGTTATGCGGCATGCATTTTAACGCATATTTTGTAATTGTTGCTGCTGCTGCCGCTGCCGCTGTCGCTGTGTGACCTTTCGCCAGGGCGCTGCCTGAGACACATTTGCATGTGCACACACACTCACATGCACACACACATACATACACAGAAAGTTGTAGACCAAATCAAGTTCGTTGGACGGGACAGTTCATTGGCCCATCCGGCAGAGCCAACCGCAATTCTTAAGCTGCTTTAGCCGGCTGCCTCAATGTCTAATTACCAAGTGCGCTTTGCTGCCAGCTGCTGCTGCTGCTGCTGCTGCTGGTGGCTGCTTCATAATTACCAACAAATGAATGTTATAACCATAAAAATTAACTTGACGCCGCTTAAGTTATGCTTCAGTAAAATACCTTTTTTTGGACTTGGCCACAAAGAACAATGAGAACAGCAGCAGCAAGAAATGAACATCAAAAAAACACAAAAACAAAAGAACTTCTTAATCATTGCTCGCTTTTGGCTTCGGCTTTGGCTCTTGCTTTGTCTCTTTGCCAGTTGCTCTTCGCGTCTAATTATTTACACGCTCCGCGCATGCATATCGCTTACCATTATTATAGCCAGAGTCATAGTCAGAACTATAGCGCTTTATATATATGTATATAGCCGTGGCCCAAAGTGCCCAGAACGCCCCTCGAGACGGGGCTGAAGGGAAACCGAGAAGTGTTTAAAATCTTGTACAGTTTAGCAGATTCAAACGCTTCGGTGAGCTTCAATTCGAGTCGTCAAGCGGGTGCTTGGCAGAGTGAGCCGGGCGTGTTACCTGGCTGCAGCTTGCATTACATAATTTCGTTTACCGTTGTGTGGCCGTTTGATTAATTTGCAACAACAGCTTTGAATGTTGTCTCTGTTGAATGCGCAGCCAGCTGAAAATTTATGCAAGTTCGTTGCCTAAGTCTTTTGTCTGCCTAACTGTTCTAAATGCAATTGCGCAAATATCCCGCTAATTTTTCGTATGCTATATTGGCAGCTGCAGTGTACAGTGGTGCAGATAAGCGTAGAAAAAATCAAGCTTAAAAATAATTCAGTTTAAATTTGCATGACTTTACGGTGGGCTGAAGCAGTACAACTATGATTTGAAGATAATCTAAAAAGTGAGAGCAAGCAATGATATATATAAATAATAAAGAACTCACTTGTGATATTCAATTAGTTTTTGCAGGCTTTCATACCACTGTGCACAGCCAAAACCCATTGCCTGAGAACTTTTTTACTAGCTTTTAGCTATCATAAAGCAATAAGGAAATGCAGCGTCAAAGTTCTAGTTACCAATTACTGAAGCAGTCGGATCATATGCGACTCGTAAACATGCGCGCTATTACATGCTTCAGATGGCCAACAAAATGCTGTTATTTATATTCTAATTAGGAGAACATCTCGAAATATCCATCAAAAGTCACGCCACTTACAAATAGGCGGACTACTTTTCTCACTCTCGGCTTGTTAGCAGCTCACGTAAACGCTGATTAGGCAATTTTCACATGGACAAAACTCCAAGAGCCTCAGCAATCTCTTTCTACACATAAACATAAATATAATCGTGGCAGCGTTGTTTTTGTAGGCGTTTCAGCTATGTCCCGCTGGGGAAAACTGAAAACCGGCAATGTCATGTTGGCAGCGTTTGTAAATGCTACCAAAAAAAAAACTATCAGCAGGCGATGTGACGATGATGATGCCTTTATAAGCAAGTGTAGATGTTTCTAACTATGCCGCATACGCGGCCAATTTCCATTGCCAAAAACAACAACATCAAGAGAAACGTTATCTATTCCTTGCTTTTGTTTTGTAGCATCCTTTGAGCCGACAACTGGTCGAACTGTTCAACTGAAAATCTCTCTGCGTGTGTGTGTTTGTTACTTCAAAGGAATTTCCATAACCGCTAGCATTCCATGTGTGTTGTTGCTGTTATGTTGCGCCTAATGGCCAAAGACAACACAAACAACAACAACAAGAACAAAGGAAACACGTACATATTTCTATCTTTCTCTCGTTTCTCTTCTCTTTCAATGCCTTTTGCTTTCTGCGGCTGTACGTAACGAAATTGAGTTCAAACAATAATGAAAAATAAAAGGCGGCAGGAAAAACACACATGAAAAAAACAACACAAACAACAACAAACGCAGAAAGCACAACAAGACGAACAGGTTTTCAGGGCAGCTCAAAGATGCGTGCGTGGAAAACTGTGGAAAATGCAAACCCAGAGACAGAGAGAGAGAGAGACGCAGCAGAAATTGTGCTCCACTGTGAGCAGCCGCAGCTGGCCAACAATCGGACGTGCATTGGCCGCGCTTGACCCTCAGCCAGACCAATTGACACAATTTAACTGCAAAAAAAGTAACAAAAAAACAACGCCAGATTAATTTCTAAAATTTGTTTTTCAAATTTAGAGTCGATTAAATAATATAAGAAGTATATATAAAAATCTCTTTAATTGAATTAAATTGTAGGCTCTATTATTAATATTTTAGGAAATGGCTGATCGGACTGAGAAGACTCTTGCACATGTATCTCTATATACACTGGGTTATCAATGTCTCTCTGAGCACATTTTAAACGTCAGCTTAGCTTAAATCAATCGCACTTAAATCATGCATAACTGAAATTTCTCCGAGAAGCATTGATACATCTGTAATTAGCTGCCCCATAATCCAATTAGTAGACTTGAAATGTGCCAAACGGATATCAAATCAGATCTCACAGCTAATGGCATCAAAATCAAATTGCCAAACTAGAAAATTTGTTAAGTCTACAGAGTATCTCAGCGAAAATAGCACAATTACAACAAACATAGCTTCTCAATTAAGAAACTTACAGGGTATCTCTTAGCCGATGGCATAGTTTCAGGTAGTTGGCAATTATCTCATTGCCGCTGCATTCCACACACGCATGCGTCGCAGTGTATTAGGCTGCTTAGCATGTTAGACGGCGACTGCAACTGCGAGTGCGAATACGGATATGAGTGTGAGTGTGAGTGCGAGTGCAAGTTTGAGTACTCGCTGCTATGTAGGTTGGTGTGGCAAGCAACGGTACTGCAACGGCAACCAACTGACGGCGGCTTTCGGCTGAGTCCCAGGCAATTTGCAAAGCTGCCAAGTGGGGGACTACGGCGGGAACAGAGCCAGGGGCACAGGCTCATCACTTGGCCATCTAATGTCTAACTGCATTTAGCTGTCAAGTTAACTTGTTTACGCTGCATGCATTTGGCAGTCGCCGTCGCTGCTGCAGTCGCATCTGCTGCGCTGTGCTGCGTTGGCGTCAACTACCGTAGCCAATGTTGCTTTTTGGGTCAGCACGCGTCGCACATTGGCGCTTATATAATTGCAACAAAAGCAAAAACAAACATAAATCACATGACGTGCGTATGTGCCTTGGACTGGCCAATTATGCAAGCCCGGCGCGTAAATATTAACCCTACAAATAGAGAAAAGCGGCAAACAGCGTCGCCAAAGTCAAAAAACTGCAACAAACGTTTCTTTTATGTGTTTTTTGGCTTTCCTTAACTTTTTTTTTTGATTTTGCTGAAGCGAAGCATAAATAAACAACCGACATTAACATTTACGATGTCTACGTGGTCCAGCGACGCGCAACGTGACTTTCAACTCAAATATATATATATATGCAGCATAAATTAAATTAAGCGACTGCACCGAAATTACAAGCCAAGTAATCTAAAAGATATATCAAAGATCTCCCCCGCCCCACTAGCTACGAAACGTGAGCGGGCACTTGCAATGAGCTCAGCGAACTTTTATCATGTCTTACTTATATAGAACTAATATTAAGACTTAGAAAATAAAAGATAAATATATATATAGAAAGATCTATATTTATAACAAATATATTGAAATTGGGTAAGACTTTTGAATTATTATATGTTGTTATATTCAACAAGCATAAGACTTCTGATTCATAATCCAATGATAAAACTTATTTGAACAGCTCTATATATATCATATATATATATCATATCATATCGCTAATCAAAGTTCTTATTGTTAGCCTCAACTCTCTCCAAGCTGTGTATGATATTGTGTCTAAAGGTTTCTTCAGCACTCAATTGCCAACTTTGGCCCACTTTATTTGTACGTTAACTGTGCTATACAGATTAAGGTCAAAATCATATGCATATAAAATTAATGTCTCAAAAGCTATAAAACAATTTGTATGCCAGTACGAAAGATTAATGCAAAAAGATTGCAAAAAATTTGGTTTATCTTGATTGTTCTGATTGGGCTGAATGTGATTTGAATACAACAAACTAGTCTCGCACTGCAAAATCCATTTATTAATTTACTTTCGATTCATGATCAAATGACGTTCGACAAACTCGTTTGCTTTAAGTTCACAAGTGAACTGAGTGTGTTTATTGTACAAGTCGATCTTCTTTAGAGGCAATATCTTGAAAACATTCGATTTCGTGTTGCTGTTCCAATTTATAGACCATAATTAATTTATTTTCAATATCAACTCAATTTATCAGTTGACTTGACAAATACAATAAAAAAATACAAATTATCCAGCGACAAATGCGACTGCCTCTAACTGCACACTCTCTCGAGCAGGTCTCGCTCTCTCTCCCTCTCCACCGCTTTAGGTGTATTGCTCTCTGGCAGTAGCACAGTTTAGTGAGCAACTGTTATACACGCGAACAGAAACTGATTTTCAAATGCCCAGAGACATTTCAACGAAACTAGTTTTCCTTTTGTGTGTTTGCCCATTAGAGACGTCTGCGGGGGGCGAAGGCCGACAAATGCCGTCAGCTGTTTGGCTATAGACTTGGCTCAAACGCTTCGCTGCAGCTCGCTCGCTCAGTTAGTCTTAGCCGGCACGTCGCGTCGTGTGCACCTCGTCAAAAGTTTTCTGTGAAACGGTTGGTTTTTCCCACTCGCGAGATCCCCTGCCCCTCCCAGCGTCGACTGCCCTCCTATCTAGAAATACACATTTGCACAGCTGTTCAGTTTCTTGGATGTTTGTTGTTTGTGTGGTGTTATGTTGGTTTTTATAGTGTTCGTATGCAAAATTCATCAAAATTAGCAACAATTTCTATTGCTATTTGTTTAATTTGTTGACGCCATGCAATTTGCTATAGAAAAGATAAAAACCCGACAAAAACGATCAGCGCTTACGTAACGCATAGCTAAACTATTTGCTGTTTGCTGTTGTTATGCGAATTTTATATTTTTGCAAATTTCAGTTTGCGAATTTTCGCAAATGAGTGCGTCGATTTTCTAGCAATTTCATTTGCTATTTGGGGCAGAGCATTTATATCTATATTTTTTTCTGGCGATAAATAAATTGCAAATTGCCGGCGACATCAGCCACGTTTGAGTTGCTTTCCAGAGCAGCAGGTGCAAAGTGCATATAAAAGACTTAAGCAACAAACTTTCCTTTCCCCTCCTGCATGCTACAAAAGGCGTTCAACGTTTTGCCATAGTGTAATGCTAATAAAGCAATAAAAAAAAATCGTAAATAATCATAAAAAATAAAACAACAAACTTACATCATAAGTAGCTCGCAAGTTGCTGGCACACTTTTCGCAGCTGCAACAACAACAACAACAGCAACGAAGTTGAAGTAAAAAAAGCGCACAGTCGCTGCATTTAATTAATCAAAAAGAGCTTTTGCTTTTATGAATGAGCCAAGTGAATCAGTGAATATATGACTGAGTGAATGAGTGAGTGACTTATTGTGTAGCCCTGCCCTTGCATCAACTTTTGTCATCCTGCCTCAATGGCTTCTGCTGCTGCCGCTGCTGCTGCTTCACTTGCTATACAACATAAATTATGAGCGGCTGAAGGCGGCTCGCTCCTCCAGCTACGGCGCTGTATTCATAGTATATAAAAATATGACTTATTAATAAAAACAGACAACAGCAGCAACTTAGGGCCCGAACAGCAGCAACAACAACAACAACTTAATAAAGCCAACAAGCTGTTGGCGCCAGCGGCTGGCATCAGCTCTTGTAGAGAATCGAGACTAGAGCAAGTTCGTAGATCGGAGGCGCTGCCGCGTCGTAAATGTTGATGTATTGTTGATTTTTCATTAAATGTGTTAAATATGCCAAGTGTAGGACGACGCGTGTGGGTTTTTCTGAACTGAAGCCCTGCACTTGTTGTCAAATGATTTACACAAGTTGCTGCTACTGCCTTGCTCTTTAGCTATTTTTATGCAACTGTGACTTTCTTAGAGTTAATAAGTGTAGACAACAACTTCTGGTCAGTTTTCTTAACCATTTTAAGTATTTTATTCTCTAATTACATATACATATATATATATATGTTACTCGATGTTACTCGCGCAACCCTCGCTTAGCTGACTGCAGTTTTAATTATATTTATGAATCCATACACTTACCTCACAAGTACTTTGTATGTGGCACACGTTTTGCGCTTATGTTTTTTCATACTTCATTTGCAGCATGCAATAATTACGGGGCGTACAAATTAATGTGCGGACAAGAAGCTCCAAAAAAGCAATAAAGAAGGAAGGAATAAGTAAAAATAAAGTTACCGTAAGATAGCCCTGCAGGACTCTTAGTAACCCTTTTGGTTTTGGGTGTATGCGGAAATTGCCAAAACCTTTTGGTAGGAGTTGCATTGAATAAATTAGCATCAAATAGTTGATCAAGTATTACTGGAGCCAAGCCTTTGGTAACTTTTTTGACTGCCGTTGAATGGTCCAAATAGTTGGCCACCCACGCCCAAGGTCATGAAAAGCTGCATAAACAAGTTTGTTGCACAAGTCATTCGTTTTTTCCGCTTGTCCAAGAGTTAAAGAGCAAAGTTTAAGGCGTTTGATTTACTTAGCAACCGAGCAAATGGAATGAGTCAAAACTCACGCGTTTTAAGGTTGTTACGCCCATAATATGCCCACTCGCAGCGCTCGATGTCGTTCAGCGAAAGTTCAGCAAAAGCTTGAGAAACTTCATGAAACATATGTGTAAATAAAATTTTTGAAACGCCCACAAATGCTATCGATTTCTGTGTGAGCGTGTGTGTGTGTGAGCGTGGGTGTTGTGGGCGTGACACCAAAACAGTTAAATGTGGAAATACAAGAAATTCAAGTGAATATCAAGCGCAAAAATTACGTCAATCAAAAAGTCGAAGCAACGGGCTGCCAGCACCCAGCAGCCAGCAAATATCAAAGCTAAAGCTAAGAAAAATATTTTCTGCAAAGGCGTCCATACAGCAAAAGCTAAAAGAAAAAATATCTATGTGTGTATATATTGCCAGGTTTTTTCTCTGCTGAGCGGTCCAAGCCAAAAATGGACCATGCAGAGCCTCAGCAGCAGCAGCAGCGACGCAGCAGCGCAGCGTGTGGGCAGCAAAGTTGCCTAACAACCAACAACTAACAACACGAACAACACCAACACCGGCACCAACACGAACGCAAACACGAACGAGAAGACTAGTCTCAAGTCTCCACTGGTCGTCAAAGACGACTTCGTCAACGCTTCGGGATCGAGCTCCAGCACTCGCAGCCTCAGCAGCTTCAGCTCGAACCAAAGGCGAATTCGAATTGTGTTTCAGTTCGTTTTTAGCGCGCGTGCGGTGCGGTTCTCTCTCTCTCACATTCATTCACTATAGTAGCTCTCAACTTTTCGATCAAAGTGCTGAACAGCTGAACAGTGTGCGGATCTGTGAGGTCTGCTGTTAGCCATTCAACAGCATCCATAGCCAAAGCAAAAATTGATTTGTTTTCTTAAAATCTGCACCGTTTAATTACAGTGAAAGTTTTCGTGAAGCGTGCGCAATAAAATAAAAAATAAATTTTTTAAATTTTACCTGTGAAAATTGAAAGAAAAACCAACCCCATTCGCAACGCGAACCGTGCAAATCATCGGCATCAGCCAAGTGTTAAAAGAAAAGCGATAATATTTCTTAAATATAACAACAACCAAAATTCCAAAAGTCTGTGTACAGCTCAGTGTGTGTGTGTGCCTATACAGTGCCTGAGTGTGCATCTCTCTCTGTGTGTGTGTGAGAGTGTTTGTGTGTATTTAAGCGCTTTTGGCGGCTGTGCCGCAGCCAAAACCAAAGTCTTGAAACAAATTGTTGCTGGCGTTGTTTTTCGTTGGCAGCTGTTGGCAGTATGAACTGATTTTGACCGAAATTTGATGAAGAAAATGGTGAGCAAATGTTTTTTACTCTGTTCATGATGTAAAATTTAAGTGAAACTAAGAAAATTCTATTTTAAGATTATTTTAAGGTAAATTTAAAGAATTTAAAAAAAAAAGTGAAGAAAATCTTTAAAAATAAAGTACTTAGAGAAGAAAATATTAAAACAAAAAATATAGTTATATGCGTAAAAATTTAAAGTTTGATTCAGTTCTTTCTTTAGTAGAATTTCAAAAAAGGTTGTAAATTGCTATTTGGAACAAATTTCATAAAGTATATCATTTTAATAATATTAAATAAACCTATGTTCTGTAAATAAAATGGATAAAATTATATAGCATTAAGAAACTTCAACTTAAATATTTAAAGTTCTTAAATAAATATATTTAAATTATTCGTGAAAGCCCAAAAGCTTAGAAATTGCAGTACAAATTTTAGCTCAAAAACTTGATAAGAAATCCATTACAAATATTTGTTGTCAGGCGCTTAGATCCGCAACCAAGCCCGAAGCAAGTAAACATTTCACTTTCGTTTGTGCAAATCTCTTGCTCTCCCTTGGTCAATTGTTATTTTGGGGACGCGGTTGAAGATGAGGATGGAGATAAGTGTATAGTTGCGTTGTCACTAATGTTGTTTGTTTTCTCTGCAGCGCAAATAGGGGAAAATATGACAAATAATTATTCGAAATACTCGCTTGACACACTTAGCAAGCTGTCAAACTAAAGAAATTCAAAATATTTGCCCAGCAAATGACGAAAGAGACGAACACCAATAATAAGTTTTACAAGTGACCAAAAATAGAGTTTCGAGCTAAGGTCGGAGCACCAAATTTTGTGAGTGGTGCGGCTTTGTTTAATGGATTTGAGGATTGCTGCTCTACGAGTTGCTGATTGAAAGCTCGAGTGTTGTGGCTTAGAGACGCACATTGGCGAAATTTGTTTTTTTTTTTTGGTACCCACGACTTTGGCAAACTTTATTGATGAAATTGTGAGCTTATCTCTGCCTTTGTTTTCTACTTATTTTTTGCTTGACTTTTTTCGGTCAAATGCAAAAAAATACTGCCACTGCTTGTTATGGGCTGCAACTTGAGCTCATTTGTCAGTCGGCGCCAGCTTGGACTTGCTGCTAGTCATTTGTAAAATTCATTGTTTAGCAATCTTCACAGAGTCGTGTGTTGTGATTTTTTTCTCTCTTTTATTTTTCACAAGTTCGTGGCTCATCTGTTTGCCATAGCGGGCAGATTCATCCAGCCAACTGACTGACAAACTAACTGACTCGCTTTGGTTGCTTTGTTTTGTTTTCTTCAGCTGTTTAAATTGTTGCGTTGTTATGGCCGTAGCGAAGGTGCAAAACTTTCACTTTATGTATTATTGTTTTGCGTGCGAGCTGTGGCTGAAGGCAGCCTCGGAACTCAAAAAGAAATTACAATATTAATGACCATAAATTATGAGCCTGACTCAGTTGCCCCCTTCCCATGCTGCGTGGGTCGAAATTGCAGCTATTAAAAGAGCACAAAAAGTCAGAAAGCTTTGCATGCAATTCTACGCCAATACAAGAAACTCGTACACAAACTGCACAACAATGTAAGGTACATAATAACGAAAAACTTAAGCAACAAACTCAAGTCGTAAAATAACTTAATAAAATCATTTTAGTGCGGTGCGCTCATCAGAAAACTAAAAACTTAAAATTTCATAACTTCAATTATGACTTCAAGCTTAACCACTTTTTTTTATCTGAATTGATTATATTTCAGAGAGTTACGGCACAGCTTAACCAATCGATAAGCTGAGAAAAATTTTAAGTTTTAGTTATACACATATATTTTTTAACCAATTCTCTGCACTGCAAAAGAATTAGAACTTCTCCAACATATTAAATTGTAATAGTTACCCTACAATTTGCAGCTACGACTGCTTAGTAGCTATATAAAATAACTTTAAGTATGTACATGTTATGTCTATATTTTAAATGTCATCTGATACAAAAGACTTAAGTGACAAACTTGAATCATTTGTATGTCCCAAAAAAGACAGCCTCTATAATGGCTGCAGTCATTTCCACGAAATTGAATCTGTAAAATTCTATATAGAGCGCCCAGAAAGACATTCAACTTAGTAACAAAACTTGCTGGTCTAAGCTAAAAAGTAGATTTAGCTAAAAAACTAATTGCTTCATGCACCAACTTTGGCCACATCAACTTATATTGTGCACCCCACACAGTCTGTTGAACCTAAGTGGCTGCGACTCAAGGCTATTCCCACCAGCAGCGCAAAAAATCGCACAATGCCGCCGCAGCAGCCGCAAATTCTAATAAATTTTGCAGAAAAACGAAATCAATTTTTTCTTTGCACGGTCTTCTTTGTACGGCAAGAATTCTCATAAATTGTGTACGACCAAAAAAGTCAAAGTGTGTGCGCCCACCACAACCAGATCAGCGTGCGTCAGTTCAATATTGGACGCAGACGCTGTTGCCATAGTTTCATCTAACAAAAGCAGCAGCATCAATCGCATCATCATTAGTCAGAGTCGGAGTCAGAGTCAGAGTCAGCGTCAAAGTCAGCCAAGGCTGATGTCGGCATTTACGAGTAGCTTGGCTAAATTGGTATGTGGTGGGCGTTGTGCTGATTGGCAAAGATTTTGTTGCGTGGGCTGTTGCCATATGACACAATCGTTCAGAGCTGATGCCACTTCACTTGTATGTTCGTTTTTTCGTGGCTGACTTGCACTTGTTATGCGTTTTCGATTTCTGGACAAGAGGACAGGTAGGCAGTCAACCTACTTTCACCAGAACTTGGTTTCGTTTTCAATGCCTTATACGAGTGGAAGTCCCAAAAATTTTTGGCCTTTCAGCAAGCTGTCAGCCACTGCAAACCGCAGACTAAACCAGAAAGTAAGAAAAAACTGAAATAAACGAGCATCGGCAAATCTGCAAAAAAAAGAAGAAATATGCGCCGAAAAGAGCAACAAAAGCGAAAGTAAAACAGCGACCAGGTTTTTTTCCTGGTCTTATTTTTGTATTTTTTTGTAGGGCTGCCGACTCGAAATGATGTCATGACTAAAAAGGAATTGCCAAAAATTAAGTTTTTTTGTCTGTGTGGCCCGTAGTCTGCAGGCCCCGAAAATTATTGTAGCAATGAAAGGGTACAGAACGGACTAAGGGACGGACACGGCTACGTTTTATGCAAAATCATGCAAACTGAATCTGAGACTGAACTGTGAAACAAATGCAAAAGTAACCAGACGACTTTGGCCCAGCCCAGTTCCAGTTACAGTTTCAGACCTGTACAAACGCCAACGTCAGACTCCGTTTTTTTTGTTATTTTCATGAGCTTATGGCAGTGTCAGACCCTGAGCCGAAACGACGCCTGCATATAACTAGCCGTAATGCCGTTTATTTATTTCAGTTTTAAAAAATCAACAAGCCTTTAAATTTATGACTCATATTAGTTGCCACAAGCAGCAGCAGCGGCAGCAGCAGCAACTGTCTAAAAGAAAAAACCAACACGGAACCTTTTAGATTACAATTTGCAACAATTTTAGCTGCAACTGCAGCAAAGCCCCAAAAAACCGAAAAACCCGTTTAGACAGTTAAGATTGGCGCCCAATTAACGACGTCATTTAACTTTCAAATGCAATAAAAACCGAAAAAAGAAAAACCCCTGCTGCAATTGCTACTTGTCTCTTGTAAGTTGTGTGTCGTGTGCACGGTAGCTGTGGCAAGTTCGTTGCCTAAGTCTTTTGTTAGCGCCTGTCTAAAGCAATCGGGCCGACTAATAACTTCATTTAAATTAATCTAGTTAATCGCCTCGATGCGTACGTCAGCAATTTAAAATTCAATTACAACTGCCGCTGCGTTTGAAGTGCCCACCACATAAGCAATTTGCATGTGGCCCCCATGTGTGTATGCTATGGCTGCCACATCCTGTCGCCAGCTGACCGTCATATCCTGTGAGCTGGCCGTAAATTGCAAAAACCGCACATGTTAATCAACTGGCATAGAGGCTGGAGCAAACCGCAATTATTAAATTACATTTACCTGCCTATGCAGTCGGCCTAATCGAATTGCCTCATCTGGAGGCTGAGGGTCGCCTCCTAGCCACTGGCTAGCAACACTCACTGATACCAGCCAACACCAGCAGCAGCAGTAGCACCAGTAAATGACGCTTCTCGCTAATTAAGCCAGTTGGACTTTAATAGGGGTTGACAGGCGTTTGCGGTAGTTTGTAATACATGTGTAGGAATAATATTTATATACATATATATTATAATTAATAGCTCGACGCTCGAAAGACAAAAGAACTTCGCCTAGGTGCTAAATGTTTCCCGTTTAAGTGAGAAGCTGTGACGAGCTGGCAGCTGAACTGCTACTTCAGTCCAAGTAATTTGTTTGTTTTGACAGAGATTAATTTTTATATGATATCTATATTTGTGGAATCGTTGACTCTCTGACATCAGCCTTTAAAATTGGATCATATCTTGACTTATAACAAATTATAGTTATTACGTTCATTGTTATTCACAGAATTTAATCATGAACTATGTATAGAATTTTATGTATTACAGTTAGAGTTCATTATTTCAAGCAACTCAATTTTTAATTATTAATAGAATAATCTCTGATTGAATACTTATTCAGTTGAGCTTACAATTGTTGAATTATGTCTTAGCTCCGGCTTCACGTACGCACAAAAATGTCATGACTCAACATTGCGAAGGTCAACAACTGTTACACTCGAAACATTGGCGACAATTTGTGCGCCTTAAAGACACACACATACATACTCGCATACACACAGATACTGAGAGCGTACCACACAATGTTTGGCCTTAGGCTGTGCGTAGGTTTTACGGCTCAGTTGGCTTGATTAACGCCAATTGGCTTATTACCAATAAGCCGAGCGAAGAGAGAAGAAAAACCCGATTTGCATATGAATCAAAGCGCGATTCTAACAAGCGAACAACAAACAACATACATTATATACCAAACACATTTGCAGAGGCGTAACCG